CAGAGTAAGTCGCAGGATGAGCTTTAAGAATGTGGCTCGGGTTCTAGTGAGCGTGGGATTCTGTGTCATCGCGGCATGGAAACCTGGAGCTGATCCAGGTGGCGTGTAGGTAGTAGGAAAGCCGTCGGTGTCGTCGTGCATCCACCATGACTGTTTTGTCAGCAGAAATCTCTGACGCTGCATTCACACTCCGTTTTAAACACATCTGCATCTTCATAAAACATGGTGTTCGGAATACCTTTGGCTGTCCTGCATTCGGCCGTCGGTAAAGGAGTTGTTAAGTTCATGGCACTAACGTCACGAGTACCTTCTAATGTGACGGTGACTTTGTAGACACGGAAGTACAGACACAGCGTCTCCTCGGAGCATCCTCCCTCTCCGAGCTGTCACTCCTCTCCTTTCTGCGCCGTCGCCGCTGTTTCTATTAAAGCCCATACACCGTTTTGTCTTCATGTCCCGATGATAAGTCTGTGCCTTCTTACATTCCTCCTCTCTCCCAGCTTTTATCTTTTCTTGAGTTTCCAATGCCCTGTCTGTCTCCTGTTTCCCTTCAGGTTGGATGCCCACCATCAATTCGCTTTCTATGTCCGTGTGTGAGTCCCAGGTCCCTGGTGCCCCGTTCTTTGTCCGTTTTTCCCATTTACCGCGCACTCACTCCAGCCTTGAACGTCGTGTTGTGTCTGTGCTTCCCTGCCTCTGAGCGCTCTCCGCATTTTCCGAGGTGATAGGAGCCACTGGCCAAAACTCACACCCACAGTTGGTGCAACTCATGTGGCAAGTCCTGTCTCCTTCCCGCAAAGAAAACAGGAATCATTTAATTAAACGGAGCAGAGGGAGCTGTCCTGTGTTATCTGTCGCAATCAGTCTGTCCTACTTTGGTTCATAAGTGTGTATGAATTCCCTGTGTATTCAGTTGCTACCTATAATCTGATAATGTCCCTATTGAAGTTAATTTTAACATCATTTCACAGAGAACTTTAAAACACAACCTTCCCAATATTTCATAGTTAATAAAACTGTATCTTTAGTAACCACTAATTTGCATTATTCTGCGTGTATTTTAGTTGTCATAGGCATATGAGAGGCCTGGTGAAATAATGTACTGTAACCGATGTTAGTGTCAGGGTAACTCCTTGAAGGCAAGCTAGCTGGATGGTTGGTAGTCTTTTGTGTTAGCCAGTATTGATTAGTCACTCCCTAATGCACCTTTAAATTGCTCTGAACTCTGGGTTTACTCATTTAAGGTTCCATGGGCGATGAGTGGGAGACAGGATAACATGATTGTCTTACCTCTGCTGTGGAACCTTTTTTCCGATGCTTCCTACTTTGCATCTGGTCTCTCTTCACCTACGTGTCATTTCTGTTCCAGTGACATGGTGTACTGTGGGGTTTATGACAACGCCCTGGACAACGACAACTACAACCTGGCGAAAGGTTTCAATTACCACCAAGGACCGGTAAGAATTCCTTTTCTCTTTTCTGAGTTTTCCTCACATAATGTCAGCTGCTCACAGCTCGCTCGTGCCTTCACTCGTTGAATCTTCTTTTCCAGGAGTGGCTGTGGCCCGTTGGGTATTTCCTTCGTGCAAAATTGTATTTTTCCAAATTGATGGGGCCGGAGACCAACGCCAAGACGATATTTCTGGTTAAAAATGTCCTTTCTCGGCATTATGTTCATCTTGAGAGGTAAGTCGTGAGAGGCGTGTCATGTCCATAACCAGTATTGAGTCCAGTAGAAAGCGACATTTCCTTAGAATTCACTGCTGTTCACTCCAGTTAATCCCAATGAAACAGGGAAGCTTTACTCTTCAACACGACAAGGTCTGTGAGGTAGTCCTACCTTCCCTTCATCATGCTGGGTTGTTTATTTTACTCCTAAGACTTTATTGCATGATTTGTGCATGTGAGATAGTCTTTCACTTTAACTTCAGCTGCTCTGTCTTTTTGGATCAGGTTAGCACAGGATAAATATAAAAAAAATGGGCCTTTTGAGTGAACAGATTTAAAGCTATATCGATAAATAATTTTCAGAAAAGCTCTCCTTGTCATTAAAGTATCAGAGTTGGCCTTGTGGCTCTTGTTTCAAACCCATTTGTCGCACCCTTTGTCCTGTTAGCAGATAAGTAACTTTCAGAGTCTATGTCCTTATACAGTGAGGAAATTCAGGCAAAAGCTCTTCTGTCCCAAAGTCTAGGTTAAACCTGAATATGTACGTACATCTTATTGCTAACAATTGTGCATAAACAGCACGAACTGTATCCCCTTTGCCATGAGAGCTGAGGGACCTCCGTGTGTCACAGGAGTCGGTGTGTCTGTTCCCTTCGCTTCAGTGCAGCCACGGGCACCCCTGCACGCTTCTCTCCCGTCGGCGTGAGTGTGTGTGACGGGAGCACCCCATGTCCCAGCACCGCCCCCAGCATTGCCCATGGTCTGCACTGAGTCTGCTTTCTTCCCTCTGCCCAGGGAAGTCAGCACACTCGCCCGCCTGGTCGTTTTTCTCCTTCCACCTGTGGTCCCGTCCCCCCACCTGTCCCCTGACCTTGCTCCGAGGGTTGCCCTGCACGTGATCCTCGCACCTGCCGGCTGGCTTTTGCGTTGCCCTCAGCGCTGGGGCTGCTCTGGCAAAGCACCACAACTGAGTGGTTCAAGGGACAGGAATGGATGGTCTCCCGCGCATCCCTTACCAGGGCGCTGTTCTCAGAGCGTCCACAGGACGGCACTGTTGCAACGCCTCCCGGCAAGGGCGCACGTTCTCTAGGCCTCTCCGTTTGGTTTCTTTGCAGAAGAGCAGAATTCACTGCTAGGGTGCTGTTCTCGGGAGCCTGACGTGCAGGAGTGGGTGGCCCGGGCCCCCTCAAAGGCGCCGGGGAGGGTCTCCTCCAGCCCTCTCTCCAGCTCCCAGAGCGCCGCCTTGCCCGAGTGTCCCCGTTCTATAAGAACAGCGATCAGATGGATCAGGGCCGCCCAACTGCACCTTCACTGACCTCCTCCGCTTCGAGGTCCTGGGCGAGGCCTCCCGCACGGGGACTCGGAAGGGACAGTGTCCCCCTCACAGACACCCGGCCCCGCTGCTCTGCGCGTCCCTCTGACGTCGCCTGAACACTTGGAAACAAACATTGTCTGCAGTTCCCATTTCTCTGTGGCAGTTTTTCACTGGCTGATGCTGTTAGTTATTATTCAAAGTATCTCCACATCTGCCCAATGGAGTTATTTTTCTATTTTTATCATGAACTATTGGATAGCTACAGAAAAGCATATGTAACATAGCCACAAGCTACAGAGCACAATAACGAAACAAACATGCTCCCAGACCCCGACTGAAGAAATGAAACGTCGTAGAATCTGTAATTTTAAATTTATGTTCTGTATTGGAGAGCTTGCATTGAATGAAGAATACACTTGATATGCTAATAACAGTGTATTCTGATAGCAAGCTCTGCGCGTCATCAACCTCCATAAACCTCTATAAACAGGAATCACTATATGGTACCTACCTAATGGGGCTTCTAGAAGCATTGAAATGAGATCGTGTGTCTAAAGCACTTAGTATGAGAGCATAATACATGCACAGTAAATACCAACTGTATTCAGCAGAACAGGAAATTAGTATGGAAGTTCATGTTTTTAATCACCATCTTTCACCAAATCATAATTGTATGTTTCCTCATTGTTTCACCTTAATTTTACAGTTTCCTCAAGATCAAACTTAATACATCTAATTTGAGTCTCATAAACTTACTCCGAAAGGAATGAAGTTAGGCCAGAGGGATATTGGTCTCCTTTTCTACATATTGCTCGGAATGGTAGTTGCTCCTGTGTGTTCAATACCTAAAGGGAATCCTTTGTATCTGAAAGTCTCCAACCCCAAAGATGGGATAGAAAGAAGGATGTCAATCCAAACTCCTCGTACACACGCTTTAGGATGTCCTGCTTCGTAGCAAAAGACCCTGTGAGCATGTTTTCTAACAGGAAGGCAGAATCCCCAGGTCTCTTGCCTGTTTTGTTAACCCCACGGGATCCGTGTTAGATTACGTCTCATGAAACGGCTTTTCTCTCTTCAAGGTCCCCCTGGAAAGGGCTCCCGGAGCTGACCAACGAGAACGGCCAGCACTGCCCCTTCAGCTGCGAGACGCAAGCCTGGTCCATCGCCACTGTTCTCGAAACGCTCTACGACTTGTAGCTGACTCGGGGGCTCGTGACGTGTGCAGTCCCTGGCAGGTGGGAGCAGGGACGCACCGGCTCAGGTCACATGGAAAGTCTCACTCGTGCAACATGGACGCACACTTAGGTCAAGCCTGTGGAAGCATTGATTTTTTTAAATGTACATAGGTAGCTTTTGATTTGAGTCAGAGACAGTCATCATGACCAAGGGAGTGTTTTTCTTTCGATTTCAGTAAGTGTCCTTCGAAGGCTTACGAATAACGAGTGTGAGACCTGGAGTTTGAGAAAAGAGAAATCATGCCATCTTCTGTTTGTACATGAGTGAAATGAAATGAGAGGCTGGGATCCGTCTTCTTCCGTCACAGCACAGACGGAATAGGCTGTGGTTTGATGAATGGTCTTGCCATTGACTGTAGTATTTCTGGCACCTTCCCACTGCTTTCAACAACTGTTCAGTGAATGATGCGTTCTGGGAGGGTCCGCCTATAGAATAATATGTGCTCAGAAATGGGGCACAGAGGGTCAGCCGTGCTTTTATTTTTTCACGGACACATTAGTATGTGCTTTATCATTAATACCAACAGTATATTTAGTATCACTTACTTATGCTAATGATGCATAGGATATAGGGAAAAGCCACAAAGCATTAGGTGTTTCCTAAAAGCAGTTTTATAAAATTCTTCAGTTTCCGTTTCTTACAATGAGATGGTTTACATTTTTAAAATGCAAAAACGGTGGGCATACTGCTGAGAACTTTAAGGGGAAAATGCTATATTAATTTTCTAAAACGGAGTAACTATCCTTAGTCTGTGTGTCAGTGTGTTGAGAGGTCATAGTAGCTCCTGGTTGCCTATGAACCCCCACCTGCCATTGACGAGTGTAGCCTGGAGAAGAATCTCCATATAATAAAAATAGAGAGAGAAATCCTGTCGTTGTCTTTAATTCAGCAGAAGCATTTCTGCTGTGTCCTCAGCTGTCCTGCCTGGTAGGCAAGCGTCTTTCTGTGTCTGTGTGCCAAGCAAATAAAAATCTTCCCTCCAGGTCTGCGCTTGCTTTCCCTCCTTCCTTCACCCCTGAGCCGACCTGCGGACGCCGACGCCTGCCACGCGGTTCGGGCTTGGTATTAGGGGCCTGGTCTTTTTACAGGATGTGTAGGGGCACAGAGAGAAGGAAGAGTTTAGGCTGTTCGGTAATTTATTTACTTTGACGTCAGGAGCAACATAAACGTTCGATGTGTAAGTAGACCTGCTGGTGACTCTGTGCTCCCCTGGGATTTCCCAAAACCCGGTTCAGGGCGGAGACGCTGGTCTCGGTCTTCAGGAACCAAGGCCAGCTCCTCATGGCCCAGAATATTCTGTAATGTTCCAGGGAACGTCAGTTCACTGTCTCCTACATTCCGTGAGCAGCGCTGTACAATTTTAATCAGTAGTTTCTCCAAATTATGGTTCCTCTTTGTTAATATATATTTTTTTATTTACTTCAGAGAGGAAGGGAGAGAGAGAGAAACATCAGTGACAAGAGAGAATTGGCTGCCTCCTGCACGCCCCACACTGGGGATTGAGCCCGCAACCCGGGCCTGTGCCCTGACCAAATCAAACGGGCTCCCTCTTGGGTCCTGGGTGGACGCCCAACCACTGAGCCATACCGGCCGGGCTTTCCTTTTCTTAAGCAGCTTCAAAGCACTAACTCTGACCTGGAGAAACTGTCCATCAAGTGAAACGAAGGCTCACCCAACCGGCTGGCACCCCCCTGCTTCCTCAGAAATGAGTGTGCGGCCCCCAGAGGGTCTGCATTGCTGTTGTCCGTGGTCATTATTTGGCTTCCAAGTGATTGCAGGCGGCAGTCTTATCAACACCCCAGCGCACAACAGAAATCACTGTTGCCCTGGGCCAGTGCACCCGTCTCTGCCCATCCATCTTAATGACGTACAATAAGAAGACTGAGGTCTTGTTTATGCCGCGTGCCCATTGCCGGGGCCCCACTCTGCACCCGCCCTCCAGGATACAGGGGGAGAGCAGGCAGGACCGGAGCACGCCAGGCTCAGAAGCAGAGGGAAAGGTGCAGAAGGTCACAAATTGACAATTGGATGCTATGGCCCTGAGTGTCGCACATACTCCTCTTACAACTGATTGGCCAGGACTAGTCACGTGGCCCCACTCAACCCAGAGAGCCAGGAAATGCAGCCTACCCTGTGCCCCAAAGGCAGACAGCAGGAAGTAGTTGGTTTGCAGCATAATCCAGCTGAACATGGGGGTATAATCAAATGTACGCTACGCCCGGCCGGTGGGGCTCAGTGGTTGTGTCAGCCTATGACCCAGGAGGTCACAGTTCAATTCCCAGTCAGGGCACATGCCTGGGGTTGGGGCTCGATCCCCAGTAGAGGGCGTGCAGGAGGCAGCTGATCCATGATTCTCTCTCATCATTGATGTTTCTCTCTCTCTCTCTCTCCCTCTCCCTTCCTCTCTGAAATCAATAAAAATACATTTTTAAAAAAACGTTCTCCTGATGGGTGAATCGAGACCCATGTCCCTAGAATTGCAGCCCCCACCCCTTCCCAGCCCTGAGGCCCTGAGCAGCTGCCCAGCACAGCTCCTGCTCCTCCCCGCTCTCCTAGTCGCCCGCAGGGGTGTCTGGTGACTCTGCCAGGTGAGTAGACCAGGTAAAGGGGAACCCCCAACACTTCCATTTGCAATTCACCTGGACTCTGAGATGAAGCCAGTTCCTTGCCCCAAACCACCAAGCTGGTCCCACCAAGCTGGTCCCCCCCAAGCTTGTCCCCCACCAAGGTGGTCCCCCCCAAGGTGGTCCCCCCCAAGCTGGTCCCCCCAAGCTGGTCCCCCCAAGCTGGTCCCCCCCAAGCTGTCCCCCCAAGGTGGTCCCCCCCAAGGTGGTCCCCCCCAAGCTGGTCCCCCCAAGGTGGTCCCCCCCAAGCTTGTCCCCCCACCAAGCTGGTCCCCCCCCAAGCTTGTCCCCCCCCAAGGTGGTCCCCCCCAAGCTGGTCCCCCACCAAGCAGGGACACAGAGCGTCAGGTCATCCCGGTAGCTTTGGGCAGAATCTGCAAGCCCCACCCTCCAGGGAGCAAGCCTGCAGAGTGACCCCAGGTCCTGAAGGTGTAGCGAGAGCAGACGCCTCCCTCCCGGGAGACACCCTGACTCTAGACCCAGCAGGTCAGTGGACAGGAAAACCTCCCAGAAGCCCCTCCTGGCTAATGGACAGAAACGAAAAGCAAGTTCACTTCATGCTGGTCAGGTGGGT